CTTTTGCATTGCTGCTCCCCTTCCCCACCCCCGTCGGCAGGCCTGCTAAAACATCACCCTCCCAACGGGGTGTCAAAATGGTGCAGACCAGGCCGTTAGCCTCTATTCTCCCTCCTCTTATTCTTTCTCACTCGGCCCTTCCCGGCTGCGATTCCTCTTCTCTTGCAGATGAAATGAAGAGGCGGCGGGAATTCTATGCAGCCTTGCATTGCTGCTCCCCTTCCCCACCCCCGTCGGCAGGCCTGCTAAAACATCACCCTCCCAACGGGGTGTCAAAATGGTGCAGACCAGGCCGTTAGCCTCTATTCTCCCTCCTCTTATTCTTTCTCACTCGGCCCTTCCCGGCTGCGATTCCTCTTCTCTTGCAGATGAAATGAAGAGGCGGCGGGAATTCTATGCAGCCTATCCCATGGCAGATGGTAAGTGTCTGCAAAGCAGATGTCGCCTCCGTCTCTCTTCCCTTCTGTTCTCTTTAGGGAAGTTCAATATCGGTTAATCGAACAGTCGATTAACCTCGGGAATTTTTATCGGTTAGTCGACGATTCTATCGTCCCCGGGGGCGGGGCCGGCAGTTAGTGCTTCCCACTCCCAAGGAACTCCCTGCCACTCCGCGCTGCTGCCTCTGTATCAGCCCCGGCTGCCAGGTGGGAGCTGGTCCGTGAGGAGAACCAGTTTAAAAACCAACTCCCCTCGCAGACTGGCTGCCTGTCACCTCGCACTGCTGCACAGTGTGGGGTGGCAGCAGCCCCTGTGTGACGGCGCGTTGGGGGTCCCCTGTCTCCTGCACCCCGAAATGGCACCAATTGAGGGTGGTTTATTGCTTCTCCACGATACAGCACAGCACAGATGTAATCTGGTTACAGGAACTGGGGCTAAGAGGCCTCAGTGCTCCCCTTGAGATAGGGGAGTCCCAGCCCCCTCCCCAGCTCCTTCTCCCCTGCTTTCCAGACAGCAACTAACCAACTCTCTTCCAGCCCTGCCCCCCAGCCAGGGCAGCATCCACCTTCCTTTGTTCCTCTCCATGGGGGGTGTCTGGCCACTGGTTTGCATAGTGACTCATCCTGTTTTGCTGGGTCGTGGTACCCACGGCAGCCAGGGGGGGGTTACCCCAGAGCCAGCAGCATAGAAACCAGCCAGGTACCCCCACTACGTCACACCCTGTCCAGGCGGGAGGGGCAGGGCTGAGCTCCCAGACCCCAAGCGAGCCGGAACTGAGCTGGGCTGCCTCCCGCCTGGCTCCTAATACACTTTAAATGCAGAGCCGCAGCAGAGTAGGTTCTGGACCCGGCGTGAGCCAGGACTGAGCTGGGTTGCTGGCAAAATGTACTGGCAAAGGGAGGCGGGGGAATCCTTGAATCATAGAACACTAGAACTGGAAGGGACCTCGGGAGCCCATCAAGTCCAGTCCCTTGCCCTCATGGCAGGACCCAGCACTGTCTAGACCATCCCTGACAGGTGTCTGTCCAACCTGCTCTTAAATATCTCCAGAGATGGAGATTCCACAACCTCCCTAGGGAATTTATTCCAGTGTTTAACTACCTTGACAGGCAGGAAGATTTTCCTAATGTCCAACCTAAATCTCCCTGGCTGCAATGTAAGCCCATTGCTTCTTGTCCTATCCTCAGAGGCCAAGGAGAACGATTTTTCTCCCTCCTCCCTGTGACACCCTTTTAGATACCTGAAAACCACTATCCTGTCCCCTCTCAGTCTTCTCCTTTCCAAACTAAATGCACGTCGGCTATAGCATTAACCTATACGCTTTTGCTTATCGGTTAATCGACTCCACTGTTACATCCCTAGTTCTCTTCCCCTCTCTGCCTCGACCCTAAACAAGCTTGGGATGGGGTTTAACATCTCTCTCCCTGTGTAGTTCCCAATGGCTCCAATGAGGACCGCGGGGAAGTGTCTGAGCAGGAGAAAGGGAACCTGACGGACGATGAAATTGTCAGCTTATCCATCGAGTTTTACGAAGGGATGAGGTAAGATGTTGTAGTTGTTGTTGTTACTAAACTCCTGTTCTGAGTCCAAATCCTGCCCTTGTTTAGCCACCCCTAAGATCTTACCTCCGGGAATAGACCTGTTTTTGGCGTTCTGGGTCTTTACTCAGGTAACGCTATCGTTCAAGTCAGTGGGAGTTTTGTCTGCAGACAAAGGTGGGAGAGAGTTTTCTGCTTAGGGCTGGTGTCAGCCTTAAGTACCTTAGTGTATGTCTAGACTGCATCCCTCTGTCGGCAGAGGGATGCAGATTAGGCAGGTCGACATTGCAAATGAGGCAGGGATTTAAATATCCCGTGCCTAATTCGCATAAAAATGGCTGCCACGTTTTGCCAACTCAGCACCTTGAAGGAGGCATAAGGGATCTGTCAAAAAAGACTTTCTTCCTTGACAGATCCCCCTCTAGACTGCCGCTTTTTGCCGAGTCGGCAAAACGTGGTGGTCATGTTTATGCAAATTAGGCACGGGATATTTAAATTCCTGCCTCATTTGCAATGTCGACCTGCCTAATCTGCATCCCTCTGCCAACAGAGGGATGCAGTCTAGACATACCCTTAGCTGCTGTAAGAGCCCCTATGACCATATAATCTGAGCACATCACAAACGGGTGTATTTGGTGAGGCAAAGCAGTGCTGGGACAGATGGGGAAACTGAGGCACAGAGCAGCTAAGTGGCTTGCCCAAGGTTACAAAGGAAATCTGTGTTTGAGCAGAGAACAGAGGCATTCTAGGCTAGCACCATGGCCCATCCTTCTGCTCCAGCTTGGGTATCTCTTCAGTTTCACTTTTGCTTGTGCTGTAGTGTGCAAAGTACAACCCAGGAATAACTCAGACGTGTGGCAAGCTGTGATCACTCCTATTGACGGACTCTCTGTCTCGGTCTGTTTCCACCGTGTGTCTCTTGTCTTATCCTTGAGACATAATCCTTTCGGGGAATGGGTCCATGACTAAGGTGCAGAGGCACCATGGCATTGCATCCTGTTATATTTATATTTCCTCTGCTCTCCCACTGCAGCACGGTCCAGTTGTTTGTCTTGTCCATCTGTTCCCTCTTGTCAACTGTGAACTCTGTGGCAGGGACTGTCGTATGTTTCCTCCTGCACCGCGCACAACCTAGCCGGGACAGCGATGTACCTGTTAGGCAGTTACAAATCATCTTTATGAAAATACGATCAACCACCACAAGAGCAGAGCGGGGCAAACGATTCAAACCCATGTCTGGGGAGAGAAGGGTTTTTTTTGTAGTAATTCAATTCGGTGCAGCTCGCGGCTCTTCTTTGTGCAGTCCAGTTGGACTGGCCCAAATTCTCCTGCCATCTTGCAGGCTTGAGCACTGCATTCACTATCCTGATGCCTTCTATGCTAGTACCCTCTTCAGATCTTCTCACCATCCTGTCTGAGTGATTCACAGACATGTAGGAATTTCTCCTCACAATGCCCCCGAAAAGTAGGGACCTGTTAATGGATACAATTTCCCAAAGTGCCTACGACCCCAGATCCTCAATGGCTTTTGGGCACCTCATTCTCATTGAAATTTGAGGATTGGGGCTGAAATCGCTTCAGAAACTGTGACTCCTTTCTCCTTTGCTTTCCAGATGGGGAAACTGAGGCGGGGGAGAGATCAAGGGTCAGTGTTTCGCCCAACTCCCATTTAGCCACCCACACGGAGTGCCAAAAAGCGCGCACCATCTAGGAGCTTCCATCGAAAACATCCGAGTGGCACGTCAGTATGCCGCTAGCTCCTCTGCCTACACAGGGGGCATTTCAGCCTGTCGGTTTGCGTCTCCGCTCCTTTGCATCAGTTCCACACTCATCCACCTCCACCGTCCTCCCTACGCTTACTTTGGACTTACCCTGGTGTTAAAGAGAATCAGATCTAGTATATTTAGTTCTGCGGGGTGGGAGTGGGGGTGGCTGGTTTCAAATAGGACCAGATTAAAACTTCGCTAGCTAATCATCAAGGAAAATGAAGAGAAGCTAGCGAGAATGATGGAGGTGCTAAATGAGGAAGGGAAGCAGTATGGACTGATTATAAATATTGATAAAACGAAGACAATGGTATTTGGAGAGAAGGAAATAGGAAGGAAGATCAGTGTAGATGGGACTGAACTAGAGAACGTAGAGAAGTTCACATATTTGGAGAGCAATATGACGTATGATCTAGACTGTAAGAAGGAAATAGCATCTAGAATAGCGAAAGCAAGAGTGAGTTTGAGGGCGATGGATAAGATCTGGAAAAGTAAAGCGATTAGCTTAGGAATGAAGCTAAGCATCTTGAAAATGTGTGGATTTAGCAGCATGTTGTACGGATGTGAGATTCGAAAGATTCGAAGAGAAGGATATTGGCGTTGGAGAGAAGTTGTGCTAGAAAGATCCTGAGAATAGGATGGATGCAGAAGGTCACCAAGGTGGAATTATATAGGAAGATACAGCCGAAAGAGAACCTACTGAAGAAGGTTATACAATGGAAGTTACAGCTATTCGGGCATATCTGCGGAATGAACAATGACCGAAAGGTTAAGACCCTGGTATTCAGCATAATGGATGATCCGAACAGGAGAGGCAGACCCCACAGAGAATGGGTAGATGATGTAGTAGATTGGTGTGGAGCTAGTCTACAGAAACTAAGCCACTCCACACTGGACAGGGAAAGATGGAAAGAAATAGCGAGGGAGGCATCAGATGCCAACAGGCGTTGAGACCATGGTTGTTGATGATGATAATAAGGTATTTAGTAGGGTTGCTAAGAAGCGTGTAATTCGTTAATCGTGTAGTCGACCACATTTTTGTTGACTACACGATTAATCGATAAGGATTGGCGCTGCAAGCACTCGGTTCCAGCTCGTGCCGGGTCCGAGGAGCTACCTCCGCTGTGACTCTGCAAGGAAAGTATTTTAGGAGCTGGCTTGTGCTCTGTCCCGGCTTGTGCAGAGCCACCATGAGGATTGCTCCCAGGACCCGGCGTGAGCCGGGACTGAGCCAGGCTGCTGACCAGTCCAATAAAAAAAATGTACTGGCAGTGCTGTGGGACGGCGGGGGGGAGGGGGAGCATGTAGTTGGTGATATTAAACGGTAAGCATCCACTTATCGGTTAATTGTTTAACTGACTGCACTATGACATCCCTGGCAGTGCTTTTTTTGTAAGAAAAAAGGTGCCGGTACTCCAGGATCAAACTTGTTGAGCAAAAAAAAGAGCAGAAATGCAATCGCGGCCCCTTTAAGAGCCAAAACACCGTGCTGGGAAAAAAAGTCTTGCATTCCGAGCGGGCTTCCGTCAGGAGACGAGCTGCACCAGGAAAACAGGTGCTGTTACGTACAGGGGGAAATCCCATTCATTTACTGTGTGCAGGGAAAATAGGTGACGGTCACAAAAAATGCACCAATTCCTGGTATTTAGGCAGGCGTTCTTGTAGCGAGCCTTGTATTTTCAGCATTATGGCTTGGTCCAAAGTTTATTGTACACAAAGGAAGGACTTGCCCTGGCTTTGGAGTTGGAATGCTCTAGCCCAGTGGTCCCCAATGCGGTGCCTGCGGGCACCATGGCGCCCGCCGGGCCATTGCTGTGCGCCCGCCGAGTGATCGGGGCCAGCCCCGCCCCCGTGTACGTGGTGTATGGGCGGTGCCAGCCCCCGGGTACGTGGCACAGGCGTGGCGCTGGCTCCGGGTATGCGGCACAAGCGTGGTGCTGGCCCTGGGTACGCAGCGCGTGGGTGATGCCGGCTCCTGGGCGTGCGGCACAGGAGAGGCACTGGCCCCGGGAGTGTAGCGCATGGGTGGCACCGGCACTGGGCACGCAGCGTATGGGTGGCTCCGCCCCCAGGCACATGTGCAGCCCCGCCCCCGGGTGCCCGGCGCATGAGTGGCCCCGCCCCCGGGTGCCTGGCGTGTGAGTGGCCCCGCCCCTGGGCACCCGGCAGTCCCAAAAGGTTGGGGACCACTGCTCTAACCGATATACACTGAAGATGCCCCATCCAGGGGTTAACTACACACTTATGGATCCCCTTTGACTGGGAGGTAGGTACCTACGCCCCTTTGTGAATCCTAGCCCAAGTGCTTCATTAACTTTCAGGGCTGAAAATAAACCAGCGCACGGTTTGGGAGAGGATCTTGAATACTCTTGTTTTCTTCCGGTGCGGAGATCTTGAGTAAGCTTCCGGATCTGTTCGGCCTCTCCAATGACTTCTTCAGGGCCAGGATTTCACCGTCAGTGCTTGACGACTCTGCAAGGGTTTCCTGGCAGGGGCTAAAACCAGCTCGCGTTGACGGGGAAGGGAAGCGTGCAGGCTGTTCTTTCACGAGGGCCCAGACCCTAGTGCGGTGGGGGGGGGACCCTTTTGGAGCTGGAGGCCACTGACCCACAGAAGCGAGAAGCAAACATGAAATGAAAAACCACGACCCACAGCTCCCTGGGGTGCAGGACTGGAGCACCAGCACCGGCTCCCCAATGCTGGGTGGGGGAAATCTCGGGGGCCATAGGCTCCCCACCCCCATCTTAGTGCTGACTCTGGCTACACTCCAGTTGACTTAGCAGTGGCTTTGTATGGAAAAGAGAACCTCAGATGTGCTGGGGCTTTGCCGAGGCTACTGAAGCTCACGAGCGGGGTGCTCGTCCCGTGGCCTGTGGTCCTCTGTGTGGAGCTTTGTCACTGCAATACACAAGCTAAAGCAAAGCGCGGAGCATCCGGCACCTCGAACGGTTGCTCCCAGTGCGGCTGCGGAGCCGTTCACACGTGGACACGCCCCCTTCCCCACTTCATCTCCTGAGAGATGTCCATCCTTGGGTCTCTTCCGTCTTGGCCAGGAAAATATCCCCTCTCCGTGGGCAAGGGGGAGACTGGCTCTTCTGAGGTTTTCTGTTTGGCCGTTTGACAAATTGCTCCTTCTTCCCTAGAGATGAAAAGAAAGGCACGGTGGAAAACGGGGACGCGGAGAAGGAAAAGGTGAGTGCTAGCGACATTGATGGCTTCGAGAGGCCTGCAGGTCAGCAAAAGGGGGGGGGGCCCAGCCAGTGTGTGATACCCCTGGGAAGAAGGCTTGTGATGATCGGTTCTTTCCCATGGCTTGTCAGCTGCTGCTCGCTCTACCCCCGAGGTTCGGAACCTGAGGCCCGGGAGCCGGATGCAGCCCTTGGCTTGCCTGGATTTGGCCCCTGAGGCTCAGCCTGCCCCCCTACAGCACTGGGGAGCCTGCGTTGTGCCTCAGCCCCCCCACCGCCCCATCACGCACAACATCTATTAGGCTGGGTCCCCCCAGGCTCTGGTGTGGGGGATCTGAGGGATGGAAGTCAAGGCCAGCTCTTTCAAAGGAGCCCAGCGACTTTGGTGTTTCAAAGTTGGGATGCTCGGCTCTCGAGGACTTTTTGCCAAGATCTCCAAAAGGTACTTGGATGCCTAACTCCCAGGGACATCAGTTTGAGGGTCTGGACCTCGCTTTCAGACTGTAGGGTTGCCAGGCGTCCGGTTTTGAACCAGACAGTCCGGTATTTGAGGGTTCTGTCCGGGAAACAAATTGAGAAAATACCAGACATAGAAATGTCTGGTATTTCCTAATTAATTGTGTACTGCCTTGCTGGCAGACATGCTCACGCAGTGTGACTCATGCAGTGTGAGCATGTCTACCATCCAGGCAATACGCAATTACACAGTCGAGTGGAGGAGGGGGGGCGGGATGGAATCGCTGGGGCTGGACCCGCTGGGACCATGTGCAGGACGGGCAGCACCCCGGGATCTGCGTGCACCTGGACCAGCCCTGCTTCCTGCCGGCTGGTTCTTCCCCACCCCCTCCGGCCCCCTCCCGGCCAGTCCCGCTCCCTGCCAGCTGGTTCCCCCACAGCCAGCTCTGCTTCCCCCCCCGGCCAGCCCTGCTTCCCGCCGGCCAGTTCCCCCCCCCCCGGCCAGCCCCACTCCCTTCCAACTCCCTCCCGGCCAAGCCTGTTTCCCACCGGCTGGCTCCTCCCCACCCCCTCCGGCCCCCTCCCGGCCAGTCCCGCTCCCTGCCAGCTGGTTCCCCCACAGCCAGCTCTGCTTCCCCCCCCGGCCAGCCCTGCTTCCCGCCGGCCAGTTCCCCCCCCCCCGGCCAGCCCCACTCCCTTCCAACTCCCTCCCGGCCAAGCCTGTTTCCCACCGGCTGGCTCCTCCCCACCCCCTCCGGCCCCCTCCCGGCCAGTCCCGCTCCCTGCCAGCTGGTTCCCCCACAGCCAGCTCTGCTTCCCCCCCCGGCCAGCCCTGCTTCCCGCCGGCCAGTTCCCCCCCCTCCCCTCTGTCCTCCTCCCGGCCGGCCCAGCTCCCCTTCAACCCCCTCCCGGCCAGCCCTGCTTCTCACTGGCCAGTTCCCCCCACCCCCGGCCAGCCTCGCTCCCCTCCTGGCCAGTCCTCAACCCCATCTGAGATCAAGTATGTCCGGTATTTTTTTGAAATCATCTGGTAACCCTCTTTCGGAGGGAAACAGGACCTGTAGCCAGTGGGGCTGACAGCCACCGGGGGCCCCAGGGAAGGTGGGAGGAGGGACGGGGGCTGAGTGCAGAAGGGGCAGGGCCTATGGCAGTCAGCACTTGGCACCGGCTCAGAACCGCGTGGGGTGGAGGCGCCGCGCTCCCGCCGCAGTTCAAAGGGGCCCGAGGCACCACCCCAGAAGCAGGCCAGGAGCTCTGAGCCCCTTTGAAATGCTGGGCCTCTGGGCAATTGCCCCCTTCCCCGTCGGCAGGCCTGCCTTTAGCTCTGCTGATTCCATCTACGAGCCATCGGCTATATCTCTGCTATTTACAGAACCATCTGGGAACCATCCAGGCGCCTAAATTCCCTGGCCAGTGTTCTGCGGGGGGTCTGACTGGTGCCATTTGACTTTAAAAATCTCTTACTCTAAATAATGGTGTGTGGTAGACACACAACGTGCCAGGAATAGCTAGACAGGCGCTGGCTGGGTCCTACCAGCTACTAAAATGGAACACCACGTGTGTCACTAAAGGACTCACGAACAACAGGTTAAACTTCTCTAGTCCAGCACCTTCCGGTCCGGCAACATCCGTGCTCCGGCATGATTTGAGTTAGCCGCATGTTCGCTGATCATGGGTGTGGCCAAGTTTCCCACGGTCCTGTACAAGTTTGTTTACAAGCTCCAGTCCTGGCTCTCAGGCTACGTCTACACTGGCAGCGTCTTGCAGAAGAACATCTTGTGCAAGGGTTCTTGTGCAAGAAGTCTTGCACTAGAATACATCCACACCGTCATGTGCGAGCCGTGCTTTTGCGCAAGAACATCCATGACAGTGTAGATGCTCTCTTGTGCAAGAAAACTCTGATGGCTATTTTAGCCATAGGAATCTCTTGTGCAAGAAATCCCTGCCGAGCTTCCACACTGCCCTCTTGTGCAAGAGAGCTTACACCTGTTAGAGAAGAGCATAGCACTTGCTCAAGAAGCCCTCTCTTACCACGCCATACTGTAAATTTCCTTGCACAAGAGCAGGCGGCAGTGTGGATGCTCTGTGGGGTCTTG